GACGACATCAATCAAATCAGAGCTTTATTTGAAGAGTCCATGTCCTCACTTAAACCCCACAGTTTCCAACGAGGTCCGGTATTGATAAACGTATCGCCGGTCATTGTGAAGAGCGAGTTGAAGAAAAAGCGTTGAAAAGATCTTCTGCATCTGAAATTAGCTTAGAATGCAACGTGACATGAATGATGCCTATATCTAGCCACATAGCATGGGCATGAAGTAGCTGTGCCTGCGTACTATGGAGTATTTGAGTAATTACTAGACCCTGAAAGCTAAAGGTCTATTCTGTGGTCCCGAGCAGAGTCTAGGGCCTAGTATATATACCGCTGCAGTGACAATCGGAACCTCCGATTGTCCCTACGATCTTTTGACCGCTATTCTAAGGTTTTGGTGGGAGCTGAGCAAGCCTGAGCATATGATGTCATCAAATTCCAGCCCTTAGGAGGTTGCAGGTTGACCAAACCCCCAAGCCCATGGAATAAAAAACTCTGGATCTTTGCCCCAGGAACTCTTTGTATCGGGGTTTTCACTTAATTCCGACAAAGTCCAGGGGGAAAAGGTTGTGATGTTACTTCATCGACAAGGAGGACCCACTCAATTGCATCACAGATTGTCTTGTTGTCGATTGGAAACTCTTTTTTCTGACTAAACCTGCTGATCTCGCACAGTTTGATCGATTCTCGGTGGGAGATTTGCGTAGTGACGTACTAGAGGGGTCGCCTATAAAGCAGACTCGCGGGCTGATGGGTCTTCAACACCTGAATCCTTCCTCAATAAATTTCAAATTCCACGAAACTGTATTTTGCATCAATATTTCCCACAATGCCAATCAAATTCACCGTATACAGGGGCTCCAAGGATGGAATCAAACAGGCAGAGGTCGAGCGGGAGGACCTCAAGCGAGATGATGTTCTAGTGCGAACCACACATTCAGGAGTGTGCGGCACAGACGTCCATTACCAGTCAGTCGACATGAGTCTTGGTCATGAGGGAACAGGTGTGGTGGAAGCAACTGGTCCGGACGCGAAGTTCTTGAAGAAAGGCGATCGTGTGGGCTGGGGTTATGAACATGACTGCTGTGGCTTTTGCAAACAATGCCTCTCTGGGTGGGAAACAATGTGTAAGGAGCGGAAAATGTACGGCTTGGCCGATCTCGATCAGGGATCTTTTGGCACCCATGCTGTCTGGCGTGAAGCCTTTTTGTTCAAGATTCCCGACAATATGAGCAACGAGGATGCGGGTCCCCTTATGTGTGGTGGATCAACTGTTTTCAACGCCCTCCATGTCGCGCAGGTTCGGCCGACCGCTCGCGTTGGTATCGTTGGAGTGGGAGGTCTGGGGCATCTGGCTATCCAGTTCGCTGCAAAGATGGGCTGTCAAGTCGTGGTGTTCTCTGGCACAGACAGCAAGAAGGAGGAGGCGACGAAGCTGGGAGCCGGCGAGTTCTATGCGACCAAGGGTGTGAAGGAGCTGAAGATCAAAGCCCCTCTCGATCATCTCATTGTGACGACCAGCAGTCAGCCGGATTGGTCAATCTACTTGAATGTCATGGCCCCCGGTGGTGTCATTTCGCCTCTGTCCGTCGATTCAAACAATCTCCAAATCCCATATATGCCGCTGCTTTTGAATGGCCTTCGGATTCAAGGAGGCATCGTGGGTTCGAGACAGGTCCACAGAGATATGCTTGAGTTCGCTTCATTCCACAACATCAAGCCTATCAAGATGACATTCCCTTTGACATTGGATGGTGTCAAAGAAAGCTTGAAGACATTGGAAGAAGGAAAAATGCGCTATCGTGGCGTTTTGGTGGCACCCTAGAATGTTGACATGTGGGCAAAAAAGCCCGTTGGGTGTTTCTGATCCAATTGAATGATCTGGAAGTCCAAGTCTGTATATAAAGCCACAGTCAGAATGGATGCAAATGATTTCATGTTTATGAATTTGAAGGTACTGTTCATGCTTGTTCGCGCGTAGTTCTTATGTGTGGTGGGGAAAAACAGTAGAAAAGCGAAAGAGCAAAGGTCTTGGACACATAAGCAGATCGGAAACGGGTCCTACATAGAAATGGGAAGGGCGTGGTTTATATTCAACGGCTGGAAGGCGAGGACCTTGATAGAAGGTGGATGGAGCCATCGACGTCAACCGCTTGGCAATCAATGCTACTTCTAATTTTCAGAGTGAATTTTTGCAAACATATGTATCTGAATAAAAATCCATCCCATAGGGTAGACACAACCTGCAAGGAACTAGCTCAAAGGCGCCCTTGAATTGGTTTATCCTCCCCATCTCGAATATTAGCAGGGGGTAAGCGAGGCTCAGGCAACCCCAAGTCGCTTGCAACCTCTCGGGCCGCCCAGAGTCCTGTCACGAACGCGAGAGCTAGACCCCCAGCGTATCCGAGATTACTGAAGCCGCCAGCATCGACACCCGTGACGAGCAAACCTGGAATTCTGGATTTATCCGGGGTCAAGGCGTGCCCTTTCGTATCGATCGCGATACCGCCGTAGGTGAATGTGATACTATCGAACGTTAGATATGAGAATTGGACTGTGCAAGAGACAACCTACGACGGCTGAACCTCCATAGCATAGAAGGGACCTTCTCCATCCACCAAGGGTGTAGGGGGCGAGCCGGCGCGACCGATAGGTGCGTTAAGGGAAATGCTCTTGTCCCCTAAACGCACTACTCGATCGTACTCCTCGATAGTACGTCTTGCTTGTACATCATTCACACCCCACCCGTGAAGAATATCTATCAGACCATCCAATGTTGACGCGCTTCCAACATTACAGCCATGTTCGCGGGCTTTCTGCAGACGATCAATGTCCCCTGCATTAGGGAACAACGCCGTAACGCAGTGTTGGAGACGAGTTTTCTCGCTAGAATAAGAAATATATGATCAGAATATCGCCCCAAATCCCTTCTTTCTGGGGACTAACATACTTGAATAATATGAACCCACGACGCTTTTGCTGTTTGGCCAAATACTGATTGATGATCTCGTCACCAGTGGTCTCATCGGCAAATCGTTGACCTGCTTCATTCAACAGTAGGCAATATTTACTTTCTGTAATTTGATTAGAGATAAACGCGGGGGTTGACAAGGACCTGCTCTTACGGTATTGCGCGAGTGGAAGATAGTCCTTTGGATCCACGTCTTCAGCTCGAAGCGGAGCTGCCAAAAGATGACCATAGTAGGTATTCATTCCTCTACTGGTTCCTGCACCAGACTCAATGGCCAGCTTGAGTCCATCGCCCACTGATCCACGATTGGAGCGCACAAAGATATTGTCTCCGCCTTGTCCCAGGTATTTGGATGTCATCTCTGGAGAACCTTGGAAGCCCCCCGTAGCCAAAACTACCACTTTGGCTCTGACTTCGTAATATGTAGTGGGCGAATTTGGGGAGTTTCTGCAAATGACAGCGCCAATTATGCTTGACCCCGAAACCCCGGGCTCTTTCTGAATCAACTTGACCACCGACGTGTTGGTGAAAATATCGGAGTGTGTCTTGCTAGACTGAATACTCTTTCGATGGAGGTTATGAAGGTGTGGAATCTTAATTGGAAATCCAATACCTATAGCTTGTCAGGGTAAATGCTCACCAAATCCTTTTTCTCTTGTCTTACCGATTGACATGATACCGTCAAACCGGTCTGCTGTTGGCACCCCATTTTCACGCATCCATTGTACAGCAGGTAAATAATCGTTTAACCAGGCTTTCTGCAATACCGGATCTCCTTCGGGGACCCAGTTTCTCAGCTTGTTATATGTTTGTGGGGCCCAGCTGTCCGTTGATAGTATTAAGAACCTCGTTTGTCCTGAAGATTGATTCAATCACTTACAACATTCCTGCAGAATAATTTGATGAGCCACCAACATCCGCTTGCTTTTCAACGACCAGTACTTTGGCTCCTGCTTCTGCTGCAAAAGCAGCGCATGCCAATCCGGACATGCCTCCTCCGCAGACGAGAACATCGACGTCGATAGGCTTCATTGTGGGTATGGTTGATGTAGGGCTAGAAATGTAAGGAGATAAAAGGTTTATTTTTTTAAATCTCATCGAAGAAAGTCATTAATATTTAACATAACGATTATGTTGTTGCATGTTAACAGGGACCTACAGATGCCTCGGCGCCGGCGAATAAATTAAGTGGCCGGGTGGACACCCGCACAGGCGGGGCCATACAAACATTTCCTTCATAAGTGGCGGCTGAATGTAATTCCATGGAGTAAACACCCGTGTGAGTGAGGCCCAACAAGGGAACCTAGGTCTGTGATTCACTTTGGCTTTTCCGGGGTAGTGTTTGGGGAGGGCACACGGTGAATTTATAAAATTTGTACTAGAGTGAATTTCTTAAAGTATTCAATGTATCGATGGTTTGCATATGCTATTTGGTGTACGAGAATATTGTGCTATCATTATTTGAGAGTTTCTTTCGCAGATGATTTCAAGGTCGCTATTTTACATAGCATTCAATATTCTCATTACCTCCCATTGGTATGTCGATCAAGCCCATAACGGAAGGATATTTCTCGCCATGAATCTATTCGTCTTTTAGATCAGTAGTCGGGTACTCGATAGCAAGTTAGAAGCTTGGACACGAAATGATTCCTATTGAATATTACACTTCCAAAGAGCATAGGTCCTACATATCAGCGTCAAATACTTCCATCGACACCCGTCCGGTGTATCCCATGTCAAACACAGCCTACGCGACCTTAGGTACAGGAAGGACACCTCCTTGATTGGGTTCACAGCGTAGGACTCGACAGTTGCACGATTGGGTCATGCAGAGAGGCTGATTGAGATCACGCCGTGGGTAGACCACTTAGCTCGAGTTAGCAACCATTGCATCAACCAGCTGAAAATAAGAAATTTGATTTAGCGTGCTAGTTCGTTTAACCTCGCCCAAAGATCGATCGACGTAGATTTGTCAGGTCGCCTGGCTGATCAGGAGCCACAAAACTGGATGGGTCACCTAATTCTTTGGCAGAAACATGGAAGATATCAAGGCAGTAACGAACGTTGGGATGATTAACAAGCTTGATGACATGAATATGCTGACAAGTGTTAAGGTGAGTTCTCCAGGCGGGAGCTTCATATCTGACTTGTAAATCGTATTTTTGGATAAGGAGACCCAATCACTTCATGCTGACGGCAATTGTGGTTACCTCTGGCGTAATTCTCATGGGATCGATGGTGTAGAGGAACGAGGAAGCATGCGCTCCAAGACACTCGAACGCAATCTCTACTCCGTTGAATCCGTATAATTTGAAACGATTGTGCCAGCCCGTGGATTTAGCCAATACAGCATAGTATTTGGGATCGGATCTGGACAGAGTAGGCTTGTAACTGGGACGACATTGGAGGTAGATGGAGGTCGAGACATGTAGAGCTGCAATCTCATAGCCGAGAATTCCCCCGCAGTTTTGAAATTCCGGGGAGATTTTGATATTTATCCACTCTTTCTCCCCCTTCTTAAACCAATCTATATTCTCGATTGCATAATTAGATTTTGATTCTTAGAGCTTCCATGCCATCATATTCTGGGGATGATAATTCCCCTGGCCAAACTCGCCCCGCCAGTGCGGTCGCGTGTGAGGCATGCCGAAAAATGAAGGTATACCCTCCAATCCCGAACCCTAAGTAATACATACTTGCTAATAAAACCTTGTAGATGAGATGCATCCGACTACAAAGGGAGGGACAGGACAATAATTCGACAGAACCATGCCAACGATGTAAGCGCACCAACCGCGAATGCAATATACCAGAGCCGAGAAAGCTTGGGAGAAAGCGCGGTGCGACAGGTCGCTATCAAGGATTTGAAAAAGCCTATCGGAAAATGCAATCGGAATTAAAAAAGGCAAAAACGTCTCATACGGGCGAGAATGATGAAATGGACAATTTCGTCTCAAGTGAAGAGCCAGTTCTAGACCTCTTATTCTCCAACCACCCTACTGAAACAACCGACTCCGCCCAAACATTACTGCAATTAGGAGCTCAAGGCTCTTGTGCCCCGTGCTACAGCTCGGCTGTGCCAGCTGTACAAGATGATGAGTCGTTAGCAAATTTTGTCTCTCCTGTGTCCCGCAGCGGCGAACTCTCTCAATCCAACCGCGAACCAATCAGTAATCCTTTGGCCTTACTGGCAGATGCCTCCGATGCTGCCCAAGCCTTGGAACTGAATTCAATATCTGCCAACCCTTCACCGGGAACGAATGAACCATCTTCTGCGGCGCACTTGTCATCCAGCCAGTCAATCGGTCGCCAACTACTTCATCGACCAGGTTACGTGTCACTTGGCTTAACATTGAACAGGGATACTCTCGAAGCAGGAATAGATACCCTGGTCGGTCCTTCCGAGCACCCGTACCGTTACTCGAACTATTTCAAATCGTCTCCACAGGTGCCTCTACGCGATGTTGGCCCCGATGTTGACCCAGTGGACCTTGGTTTGGTGACCATGGATGAGGCCTGTTATTTGTTTCCAGTGTAAGCCAATACATTAGCTGCTCTATGGATCTACACGCACTGATCAATTTTAGGTATTTTGTCCGCTTGCATCCAGTCAATGGAATCCTCGACCCGATGCTTCACACGCCGGATTTCGTGCGTTCACGATCGGCTCTTTTGTTCACCTGGATACTGGCTCTAACTGCGCAATTCGATCATGGGTCAGCATCAGTCGCTAAACGATTACGCCTCCATGGCGAAAAGCTCTCCAAACACGTTCATACCTGTGGATATAAATCGGTTGAAATCGTTCAAGGCTACTATATCTCATTACTATCAGCCACTCCCGCAGAGACACTGGCACAGGAGCGTTCGTGGCTCTACACGGTATACGCCTTTGGTGTAGCAGCCGAGCTGGGTCTAGACCAAGGTTCCTGTGTCAAAGATGCACCACCTTCGAACTCGAACAATGCTTCCTATTCTAGAAACCATGATCCAGCCTCTACATCACTCTCAGGAAGCAACTCCCCACGTTTATTACTAGAGTACCCTTCAAAAGATCCGACCGAAAATCAACGCATGACGCGAAACCGCGAGAGAACCTGGCTGAGGATTTTACTATGGGAGCGCGCAAGCAGTGCAGCCTGTGGTAGAATACACACTTTCCCAGAAACAGACTTGACACAAAGCGTCGACAGCTGGTGGCTCCATCACCTAGCGGATCCCACAGATAAGCACACATGTGCGTTTATCATCCTACGACGCATTCTAGCATCATTACAAAATGAACTAAGACACCAAGCTCATTTAACACACGTTGATCCCCATTGGGTGCGAGAAATGGTTGATACAAGTCTAAGACCGTGGTGTGACCGTTGGTTAACATATCCAATGCCCAATGTAATCACATCGCCGTCTGAAAAGCTGTCTAATATTTTCCTTCATTATGTTTATCTCCACGGAAGGCTTTGGACCTTGTCATTTGCCCTTCACGGTTCCATAAGTGGGGACCAAAATATGGATGCAATCCGAGCTGATTGCTTTGAGGCTGCCGTTAAATCTTGCGAGCTTGCCGTACACGATTTACATAATATCGGAGAGCCATTATATTGCATGTTGGCTCCGACTTGGGCTATGATATCCTATGCCGCAGTGCTGGCTTTGAAGCTATTCCCCGCCTTGTATGGATCCCGCGTCGGAAATGACGTGGAACTTCTTGCTTTGCTCAGTCAAGTTGCCATTCAATTAGAGCGCGCAGGCACAACCCCATCGCATCGATTTGGAATTGCTGCATTGCTTGGGAAGCACCTTATGATGATCCTAAGGGCTAGAGCAGCGGGACTGAAATACTCAAATCAACTTGGCCAGACTGGAGCAGATGCGTCCTACACCAGCATAGGTTTTGATGACGGGGCAAGACAATTTATGCCACAGCAGTCCCCCAATTCGAAACCGTATGAAGCTCTCATCTCCGATTACGATCCGTTCTTGACTACAGCTTCAATGTCTACTCAGGAGGATTTAACGGGTGAGGGATTTGCTGAATTCTTCCGGGAAATTTTCGGGCCTGGATTTGGAGGTGTCTTTTGACAAATTTGGCCAAAGGAAACTTGAGAAGGACAGCTATTGTTCATGTAATTTTAGCGTCTAATGACCATACATCTCTTGGTTCTATATATTCTTTATTGCCCAGCCAAGTTAGCATTGATTTTACAAGAGCCTTTGTAAATTAGATGGAATTTCATGAGTTTTTCCTATTAATATTAATCAATCGATATTTGAATCTTTTGGTTTGTTTTCTAATAAAACGGCACGCTTTAATATAGATGATCGACTACCCCACTCGGTGCATTCTTTAATGCACCGGTTTGTGGAGGTGGCGTGTAGTGGCGTCAACAGCTCGGGTATTCGATCATCCTTTTGTTGTATTAATGGAACTAATAACCCCAGAGTTGAAGGATACAAGCTACCAAATCTGGAATTATGACAGTTTCTTGGCCTCCATCTAGAGCAAATCCATTGGGTATCGCCACGTTGTCCCTTGGCAACTGGCGAGAGCATCGTTTAGAACCCCGACTAAGATCCGCAGCCAAATCGGGGTATGAATGGATCGACCTATTTGACGAGTGTTGGGCTGCGTACCTGGAAGAACATGGACTGCCGGGAGACGAACTTTGGGAACCGACTGCAGAGAATCTGCAGGTTGCTCGAAAATTGGCTCGTCTTGTCAAATCATTAGGGATGCGGATTGCTTGCACCCAGCCTCTTCGGAAAATCGAGGGGATCAAAGATCCAGCGGAACGTCAGGCTGCCTTCGATCTAGTTGCCAAGTGAGATATACCTTACCTCGATGACGAAATAGCGGTAACTCGATCATGAAGTCTGAACTAACTTCCTACTATAGACGATTCCCATTCATGCGCGCATTTGACACTGATCTTGTCTTTATGTGTGCGAATATCCGCACAGATGAGGGGGTAACATCTGATCTCAAGACGGTGGCGAGGGACCTCGCGGAACTGGGTGACATGGCGGCTGCTTATGCAAAGGCTGATGGTGGGCGCATGTTAAAAATTGGGTACGAGGGCCTATCTTGGGCAACTCGAAATACATGGTCAGCCTCATGGGAAGCTGTGCGATTTGCCAACCGCCCTAACGTTGGCCTGATCGTGGATGCCTTCAATGTCCTCGCCGTCGAGTTTGCTGATCCGTACAATGTTGCTGGCCACGGGCGGATCTACCCAACCTTGGAGGAATCTCTGGATGTTCTTACCGGGTCGCTCGCGTCATTGGTGTCGATGGTACCAGGTGATCGGATATTCTTCTTCCAGTGCGGCGATGCGGAGTTGATGAACCCCAAAACTTTCCTCCCTCCAACTGACCCGGAAACACCAGCACTGCTCCCATGGTCGCGAAGTCATCGGCTATATCCTCTTGAGAAGTCTAGAGGTGCGTATATGCCGGTTGAACTTGTCACAGCTGCTGTGCTTGCCACCGGGTACCAAGGCCCAGTCTCACTTGAGGTGTTCAATGCATCACTGAACCAACCAGGACAAATGGTTCCGGCAGAACATGCTTCTAGAGGAATTAATGGTCTTCACCTCTTGTGTGAAACAGCAAAGTCCAGTCCAGCATTTTGGCAAAACCACGGTGAACGGAAGAATGCTATCGCACAAGTATTGCACCGGCTCCAGTCAGACGAACACAAGCCTAAGCTCTGAAGAACATGTATATTTTGATCATAACCGAATCTGAAAGTAATCGAGTGTATATATTGGACTTGAGAGCCCTCTTTTCTCTTTTTGCTCTAGTATCACTGCTACGTCTAATGTCTAATGTCTACTATTTGCGTGGTAAGTACATAGCAATTAAGTTTTTTTTTTTTCCCCATTCAATATTTCTTAATTTATATTTTGAAGAATTGAAGAATTAAAGAATCAATTGCTATATCCCTGAACTGGAGCTCGGCGTCTCCCGCAAGGTCCCCCCCTCATTCTGCCCCACACGATCACCTCATATTAATCAGCTTGACGTTGACATCAACCCCCCTCACCCCCGCCATTTCCAAAACCCCAAGTTTTCTTCCGTATCTCTCTTCTCTTGATATCTACATTCATCTCAATATGACTACACTCAAGTCCGGCGATTCGTTCCCTAACGACGTGGTCTTCCAGTATGTAAGCCCCCAACCCCCGCAAAGAACGATGCTGATCTCTCTCCAAGGTACATCCCATGGAACGAGGAAAGTGGTGAAATTACCTCCTGCGGCATCCCCATCAACTACAATGCCTCGCAGGAGTGGGCAAACAAGAAGGTCGTCTTGTTCGCCGTTCCCGGTATGTTTATGTCGATGTTACCCTCTTAGCTAAAGGCAAAATGCTAACGTGTAAATCAAGGTGCTTTCACCCCGACCTGTTCCGTCAGCCACGTGCCAGGATATATCCAGAACCTGCCCAAGCTCCGTGAGAAGGGTGTCGACATTGTCGCCGTCCTTGCTTTCAACGATCCATTCGTGATGAGTGCCTGGGGCAAGGCGAACGGAGTTCGCGGGGATGACATCGTGAGCATAGTCCCACTTTCTACGTTTTTGCGACTAGTATTGATTTATATGAATAGCTTTTCCTCTCGGATCCCGATGCCAAATTTTCCAAGAGCATTGGCTGGGCCGATGAGGCGTCGGGCCGTACAGGCCGTTATGCGATCGTTATCGATCACGGTAAGGTCAGCTATGCCCAAATTGAGACCGAGAGGGGTGTTGTCAAGGTATGTAATTTCATCCTCCGTTTCCGCTCCTTCTGGTGGCTAACAGGTCAATTTGTCTATAGAAATCCGGCGCCGATGCGATTCTTGCTTCCCTTTAAATACACGAACTATAAAATACCCTCTGATCAGTACAAATCCAATTCCAAATGTCCTTTAGAAGCATGTTTCTTTGTGAAATATAGGTCCTCCTAAGGAGGTGCACAAGATGCAGCTTTAATCAACATCTACGGTCTGAATCAGTGTACTTCGTTAAGAATGATTATATAATATACCTATCCAGAGCTTGAATTGAAAATGAAGAGTGGGAGGTCTATTTAATCATCTAAGAAATTCCAAATCTAGCGAGAAATAAGTGCGAAAAAGCAAAAGATAAATCTATATAATGCAAAGCGTTCAGGTGGTATCGTCAAATAAAATGCTGGGAAATGCAAGCCCGAAGGTTGCTAACCAATGGGAAGAGTCAAGTATGTGACAGAACACGGTCGTGAAGATGCAACTCCAAACCAGCATTGACACAGTCAATATGCAAAGGCTCGGCAGCTTGATATATTTTGTCCTTGATCACAGCTTCAAGTACATCAGGTCCAGAGCTGGCAACCTGATCATCGTCATCCGACGGAACGTTTTGGAACGCACCCTCGATATCGACACGCTTGAGTTTAGGGAAACGAGTCCGACGACTTTTGATCACGGATTGTAATTGTAAAACCAACATTCCCAAATATCTCTCCTCGCATCCTTCAATGTAAAGGGTCTCAAGCGACGATGGGAGACATTCCATGAGAGGTGTGGTCGGTTCGTTCTGGTATCGAATATCCAAAAGATTTGGTAGTCTCACGCGCACTTCTTTCAAGGCAGTGAAATCAACAAGGGAACCAAACCACTCGTCGTGGGATTGGTTTAACCCCGCAGCGGTGAACGGGTAGTGGCTGCCATAGTGGTCCAGCCACAGTGTTTGCAGGCTCTTTTTGCTATGAGTCAGAGAGCGATAGAAGGCGGATGGCTGGTAGCCATGCGAAAGAACATGCGAGTCCGAGTGCTGGTATTTAAATGACTTCAGGTCGGCGCATGAGCTAACCAACATCTCCATGCCATGATTCCCACTACTCGCACGCAAATCGATATCGGTAATCGAGGAGAATCCAAGGCGTGGCTTTTCATCATCCGTTGGTTCCTCAGAGAGTGGAGTTGGGGAGCTAGGGTCCACTACCGAGTTGGCTGTGATAGCACGAACAGACGGTAGTTGGAAAAATGGCAGGAGCAATGTTGATGATAACTGAGTCTCGGATCCAGCAGCATCCAGGTTCTCGTTGTGATCGAGATCCTCCCGGTGATGCAACGAAACCTCGCGTAGGTGCCGGAAGGCTGGTTGGACAGAAAATGGCTGTTTGCAATCCACGGCCCTTTGCATGATCTGGTCCAAATATGGAGAGTTTGTCGTATATGCCAATGAAAGTTTCCTGAGCTGACTCAACAATGGAAGAATGAGCGCAACCCAGGCGTCAGCAATGCCTTGTTCGAGGCGCTGGGCCCATTGATCACTTTCGAGCGTTGAGCATGATACATCATCCAGCCATGCTCTCAAAGATGTCGAGGTCTGAATTTGGTTGCAGTCATCTTCCGATACGCTTTTCGCATGCCAGTCTGTTAGGTCTAGCTCCCGAACGGCCCGCGCCAGCGCAGGTCGTTCCAGTATGGCATGGAGGAACGAATTGGCATCTTGCCAATGGTTGATAGACGCCTTTCGATATACCAGTGGGAGGAAAAGCTTATGAAAGTGCCGAGAGACAAAGATGAGGTTTCGTCGGTCTTCTTTCTGTTCCAGTTGCTCTCCTACCAAGAGAAGTACGTCATTGGGCAGCGCCAGCTCCATGGTAGCACATTCGAATAACAACAAATTTAGCCCGACAATGTTCAGTATAGATGGAAATCGCGGGGAAATAGTGAAAGAAAGAACCACGAAATCAATTACAGACCAAATGAAGTGTACTATTTAAGATCAAATTTCTATCGCAGATTTGGCCACTGGAAGATCAAACTTTGATCCGATCCGGCCAATGTTGGGGCGCCATGTCCCGGTGGATCTATATCCCGACACTCTGAGAGGCTGCAAATCGTTAGTTTCCACTTTCGAAAAATTTCAACGTCCTAAACCCGACACAATTGCGTTTGTCGAAGGTTTGCCGATTTCTCGGATTCTAATTCCGACTTTATTCATAAATATGAAGGAAATGATTGTATCCAGTTCTCTGCGGAATCCCCCGAATTTCATGTGGATAGGTGGGGGTGTTTAGGCCTGAGGGGCAGAGATTGACAGTTGAAGAGCCACTTAGGTGCATGTGCAGTTATTGCGACGATACTCCGTAGTTAATATGGTGTCCGAGAGTCGTAGAGTCATAGCGTTATCTGGTATAGACAGTTATCCTTCACGTCGCTTCGGAGTGATAAAAAGTCCACTGAGAACAGCAACGAAGATACTATATGGACACCGAGTAGCACGCGAATACAAAAACCGACGATAACGAAGGTGGATCAGCTTGAGTGGGCTTGCGGGTGATAGTGGAGCGAGGTAGCTGGGGATCAACCTGAGACATGGGACAATGTTGGACTTGGATGCACAAGGGCAAGACCAGGGTAAGAGTGTTGAAAATCCCAGGGTCTCTCAGACTAGACCATGTTAGCGAAAAATTTCGCACGCAATTACTATCAACACACGATGTCCGGTACACCTCACTAGCTTGTTGATCAACGGTCCATCTTTCGGGGATTTCAACGTTAATATCCACTCCCGCGGATGCCGCCAATTTCCATCAATGACCACTCAACCTAGACACGTGGCTTAGGTCGGTGTATGAGTTGATATAGAATTCGTAGTGGAAATACTGCGCACTCGTACCCCTTGGTCAACGTCATGCCAGCAAAAGACTTTAGATTGACCCCAATCTATTTTTAGTGACAAAAGTACTTTCAGTCTTAATCCCTAGACCTCCAAGGAATTACTCCATTCGGGAATTCATTGGGAAAACACAGCATAGACGATGTATCCATCTCTCTAAGACGGAATATAGTCATTGCCTTGGTACAATGGAATGGGAGAGATAGGTGTTCGTCATAGGGTCAAGACAATGTCGGGAAATACATGGAAATTATAAGCTCAAACAAAGCAGAGCAATCTTTGCGGTCAATTCAAATTGGTGCCAATAGTTGTAGCAGAGGCTGTATCTGATATGCCTTGAACATCTATGAACCACAATTGGAGAGCGGAAATCACAACAACAATCTCCCAATTTTCTCCCATGGTACCAGTCAACCCAGCGCCCATGAAGGCGAATCGAAACCCTTTCGTCATGCTCCAAGAAGCGTTGTGTGCGATGAGAGCCACGATCTCTAATCCGTCGCTTGTATAACCCCGGGGGCGCTCTTTTCTGCTCCCGCCTACATTGTTCACCGGTCCTGTCAACCGCACTAATTTCCATCCATATGAAAAACCAACAAGTTCTTTGATTTCATTGCCATGGCTCTTACGCCACTCAAATCTCTCCCGTGTTGTTCCTTTCGCACCCACGGATGTTTCGAACATATGGGTAGGCGAAAAGTGCTTCAACGATCCACCGGGAACGACCTCCACAATGGAGTCTTGACGTTCAGACCCTGGACGAGGTGGGAGTGTGATTATGACGGGTCTGCTCCTTCCCCACTTGTCACCCTGAGCCATTGCCATTGCCGGGTGCTTGTTAGTTGGACCATCGTGTAACACGATTGTGGGTTTGTTATTGAAAACAGTCGCGGGGGTTGACACCGCGTATAGCTTTTCGTCCGCGGTCGGTCCAAGGTGGAATGTGTTTGTAAGTTTCCATTGGAAGTATCCGTTCATGGCGGGCGGAAATTTGGCCGTTGCTGATGTACTGCTAGATTCACATGCAGTATATGACGGTGTCTCATATTGGGGGGCTTGAGCCGCAGACTGCGGGTCGTGCTCTGTATAAGGTGGTGGTAAGCTGTCAAGTGGATTACTTGGGTTTGAACGAGACGGTAAATCGGTCGCTGTGCCCATTATGTGAAATTCGCGGAGAGAAGGTGGAAATGAAGAAACCTGGGAAATGAGAATTCGTGCTAAGTAGCCCCCACATTTTGACCCCCAACGCCACAGGCGTCAGACCTCCCGATATTGTCCCAAGTGATCACTTGTTAAACCGGTGTCATTTTCATCAATCTCGAGATTTATATTCTCTATGTATTAGCGACGGTGTTAGGGAGATTACCAGAAAAGAGTGTCGTTTTGCACTGATCCGATGCTACCTGACCGGCAGCTTCAACTCGATGTTTTCTTGCATCCATGGATATGGATATGGCCATTATGTGCTCACGTATTTTGATTTTATTAAAAACCTCGAATGTTCCTTGTGTTCGTAAGGGGAGGGAGACTATTCACTATTTCTCTTGACAACCATGTCCCTTGAAGATAGACTGTGTAAATAAAAACCTTTATAACGAATATTCGGACTCAATGGAGCTCCCACATGAACCTGATATATTTACCTGGAAACATTGACCGAGAAACATCATGTGTAGGCATTTTGCGGGGAATGCAACCCTAGTAGCTCCATCTTGTGAACATGTTACAATAATATACCCGATATTGGAACCATGAGACTGCTGGTTAGATGTCGTATTTGGCCCCAAACCCAAAGGATGCCGTATGATTCATTCCTAGAAAAATGATCTGCACAAGAAATATCCGACCACGGATCGATTAAGTAAGGGCTGGTTTCCAAGGTTACATCAAACGGTCGGGATTCGATCAAATAATTGGTTTCATGGATATTGTAACCAGTCATTTGTGAACTTATGGATCAACCTATGAACCACTCCTATGAGAAGGGTAGACCTATAGATAATGACCAAGGTCAATACAACTATCAAGGCCCGTGCATAGTTGACTCATTTTTGCCCGTGCGTCTATACTCCGTATTGACCTAACAGCTACCACTACCTCACCTCAGCGGTTTAGTCTATTCGGAGTATTGCTTGACAGCTATCACAATTCGTTCCGGTTGTCTATTTCCAATGATTATAGCGCACAACACCGGTCTTACTGGACAAGGAATCATAACCTTCACATAAGATACATGCGCCACTGCCAGTGTGATCGTCAAAGCGCAGCCCTCGCAAAGCTTGTGAAGTCTACGGAGCCAAGAGCTGTAAATCATTGATCAAATCCATCATCCCTCAATAAAGGATTGCTGGTGCGACTGGGCAGGCCTTTCAGGACAAAAGAAGCAACGGTAAAGATGGAGCTAGAGGAATTCTATAGGTATAGTGGCGTCAATTATGTGCTAGGCTTGGGGCACGGTCCCAGATGAAGCTAGCAAAATTGAGGGCAGGATTCAAGCAGTTGGTTAAACACATTTTATCGGGCCGACTGTTCACAATCTGGACTACATGGATTCTCAGCCTCGGGGCAACATTGTAAGTTGCAAATAACGATGGTGGATCACATTTTAGTACCGGCTAGTAAGTGAGTCGGAATCAGTTGCGAGGGACACAGGGCGGGAAATGACACTAGGAAGCAAGCATACACCTCAGGCTGTTGATTTTATTTGATTGATTTGACTCGGCAGGGAAATCACTTGCGCCATATTTGGAGAACAGGGGTGCCAGACATCCCGGTGTGTTTATGACCTGGTAAGAGGGGGAGGCAGGTGAAGTTGATACATCGTTCCCGATTGTAGTTACTACAAGGGATTCTTTCTGCGTCATTAATGGCGATGATAGGATAAAGAAATCGAGTTCTAAACGACCTAATCTTGGTGGTCAGCAATTGTGAGCAAACAGCCCCTTTGTTTCCGGATTTTACTCCGAGAGCGAAAGGCTGGTGTGGCATGTTTGAACCTGGTAAGCGTAGCCTTGATGGCCCACTTGGCACCTTAATTTGCGGCTTTGCAGGGTGCGCACTCAATCCTCCAGCCCCAACCGCAATGTGGCGCTTTACAGGTGTGCCAAGAGACTAGCTATAGTGCCCCCTGGGGTTTGGAAGAGCTCCTGGGTAGAGCCCCTGGGTAGAAATGCCCCAAGGGTGGTACACCAGTCAGTTAGTATGGAAATTTGCTTCCAGAGTGTCGTGTGCTAGTCGGGTCGTACCATGGACACGAGTGTTTCTTGGTTGGACAAACAGGTTAGGGGGTGTTGTTTTATGGATGTGCCGTGTTACCGAATCATAACGGGAGAGGCGTGTTGCCAAGGAGAACTGACCGCCATCCGTCTCGCGACGGCGTCCATGGGTCCCGAGGTAATTCAAGCCTCTCGTAAGCCAAGATTGAAACTTCGACAACACAGAACGGCTGCCGACCCTCATTATGATGATGCTTGGTTGTTGATACCCTATTGTGGGAAGTTGGTTTTGTATTTTACCTGTTCTTTGTTTCGTCGCTAAACGAGGGGGAACCAGCCATGGATGTTCCTTCCACCAAGACCCTTGAACAAAATAGGCAAATGTCCGACATGCGATGATACCATGTGGCTTGAGGTGACACATGAAGTTACATACACTAGGGAGCTAGGTGGCATCTGACCACAAACTAATTTGATATTCAGCTGGTGATTGGCGACTTGATAGATTCTAAGGTTCCAAGGTTGGCTTTGGCAGGGTCATATTGAAATGGAAAAGCAGGATTCTCTTTAGTGTTTATTATAGCGTTTTTCTGGGTTCTCCGGACGGAGACTCCGTACGGAGTACTAGTTTATACATCCGTTTATAGTAGCAATGCACCTATAAAGCAGGTATTCCGGGGAACCCCAGATACGCTTTTCCCCCGCATCTCCACACCTCCGCGTTTGCCTTTATGATTTTTGGGTTGCGCCTTTTCCCGTTTGGGCGTTTTGCTGTTTTGCTGTTTTACTGTTTTACTGTTTTACTGTTCTACTGTTCTACTGTTTTAATGGTTTCGTATTTTCGTTCAGCTTTGTTTGTATCTTTAAAATCCCTCACCCTTGCTCCTCGTTTCTTTCTTTTTTCTTCTTCCTTCCTCCATCTTTGATCCGACTCCCTTGCGGAACTTCATCATGGGGTACAAGATAACTAACATCTATGTCATCACCACGGTGGCCGTCATCGGCGGTGCACTATTCGGTTTTGATATCGCTTCTATGTCTGCCATGTAAGACTTCTCGTCCCTTAACGAGGTCAAGGTGAGGGATTATGATCGCTGACTATCTCTCACAGTCTTGGCACCCAGCAGTACAAGTGCTTCTTCAACCAAACGGGCACCAACTCGGAGGGGCTATGTGGTGGCCCTACCTCTGCCAATCAGGGTGGTATCTCAGCAGCCATGCCTGGTGGTTCCTGGGTTGGTGCTCTGGCTTCCGGTTTTGTGACAGACTATCTGGGTCGCCGTGGGGCCATCCAGTCTGGCTCAGTGGTCTGGTGCATTGGTAGCGCCATCGTATGTTCCTCTTTTGGAATAGCCCAGCTTGTCGTTGGCCGCTTCATCAACGGCGTTTCCGTTGGTATCCTCAGCGCCCAAGTCCCCGTTTATGTCGCCGAGTTAGCCCAGCCCAGTAAACGTGGCCAGGTCGTGGGAGCACAACAGTGGGCGATTACATGGGGCATCTTAATCATGTTCTACGTCTCGTATGGCTGTAGTTTCATTACAGGCCCCCCTGCGTGGCGCACCCCATGGGGTTTGCAGATGGTTCCTGCCGCGCTGCTTTTTGGATTGGTCTTCTTGTTGCCGGAGAGTCCACGTTGGTTGGCCAAGAAGAATCGCTGGGAGGAGGCTCACGAGGTTTTGGCTTCGGTCCATGCCAAAGGTGACCGAAATGCGCCCTTCGTGCAGTCAGAGCTACAAGAGATCCGTGAAATGGTCGAGTTTGAGCGCCAAAACAAGGATGCCTCATACCTCGACCTTTTCAAGGGTCCTATGCTCTACCGAACCCACCTCGGTATGTTCACTCAGATTTGGTCGCAGCTCACTGGTATGAATGTCATGATGCTTTATATCACCTACGTCTTTGGTATGGCCGGACTCACTGGAAACTCGAACCTTGTCGCATCCTCCATTCAGTACGTCATCAACGTGGTGATGACCATTCTAGCTTTACTCTTCATTGATCGCTGGGGCCGCCGAACTCCACTTTTGGTTGGTTCAACCCTCATGATGGTGTTCATGTTTGCCAACGCTGGAATCATGGCATCGTACGGCAAGCCAGCTCCACCGGGCGGTCTCAACCATACCCCCGAACAGTCGTGGGATCTCTCCGACGCCCCCAAGGCTGCCAAGGGAGTGATCGCTTGCACGTATCTTTTCGTCGCCAGTTATGCTCCAACTTGGGGTCCTGTCAGCTGGATCTACCCCCCTGAGCTCTACCCCCTTCGCCTCCGTGGCAAGGCTGTCGCACTTTCGACATCGTCTAACTGGATCTTTAACTTTGCCCTATCCTACTTTGTCCCTCCCGCTTTTGAAAACATCAAATGGAAGGTTTATGTGGTCTTCGGAGTCTTTTGCTTCGCAATGACTGTTCATGTTTTCTTCGCCTTCCCTGAAACTGCTGGTAAAACCCTGGAGGAGGTCGAAACCATGTTTACCACCCCTGGCCTTACGCCCTGGAAGACCACCGTGCAATACCAGCATGTTCGCAGGCTGGAGCAGGGAGCGATTCAGTCGGAAAAGACCGCAGATCTTCACGCAGAGGAAGGGACCGCCCAAGCTCCCAAGTCCAGCGAGAAAGAGACCACCGTTTCATAGGTTGAATGTACACTCAGCCTTTTATGACACGGTACAACTGGAACTTGAGTCAGTACCTTGGCATCAAATGCGCCTTTTCCATTGCCCATATGGACTCATGAATCTCCCACCAATAGGATGGGCTGCTATTTATCTCTCTAAATTGTTGGGTTATTGTCCCTCGATTTCCTAATCACTATTTAACCGTAAATACCAACGGGATCCCAATCCCTCTTGCTTTTGCTTATACTCAATTTGTAATTTGTAATGCCGAGGTCAAAAAGGAAGGCGATGAGGTTATTTGTAATTTATACGGATTGTTCATTGCACC